AAGGGTGGAGGTCTAGAGGCTGGGCAGGGAGGGGGGCGGGGAGGAGAGGGAGAGGTGGGGAGCATCTTCCTAGTGCCAGACCGGGTGCCACTGTCCCTACAAGTGTGTGACCTCCCCAGCATAGAGGTTGGCTGAGGCCCTGGGAAGAGCTGTGTGCAGGGAGGGCGCATGTGTGCACGTGACCTTCTGCACTTGCGGACTGCATCGCACACGGCTAGCCGAAGCGCACGGTTCCAAAGGGCAGGCCTGTAGAGGAGTGCGCCCTGCTCCCCGCTCTGTGCGCTGCGCTGGGCTCTGAGGAGGGAAGGGGCCCCCGGCTGCAGTGCCCCAAGGGCAAGGCCTCCCTCACAGAACTGTCACGAGAGAGATCCTATACTAATTAGCGGGATCTTAATTAAATAGCTTATTTGATTTGCATCCAAATGATGAAGGGTGTTCTGTCTAGACTCGGTGCTTCCCCGACAGCTGCCCTGCATTTTCGTGCTGAGGGTGGCCCGTGGTTAAATCCGTGTCTGTTCCCCGTTACTTGTCCCAGAATCCAGAAGGCCAAGGAGCCACCCGCTCTGGAACCCACTTGGGTATCCGTGGATCCGTAATCGGTTGCCCTCGGCAACTTAGATTGCCAGCCACTGACTCAGGAGTCCGCTCGGTGCAGATGAGTGGGATTTCACGGGCTCCTGGCCTCTCTGCTTTATTGAAAAGCAGAGTGTTACGGGCTCCACTGACAGCTGCCCATTCCGGACACGGGCTCAGAGCGTGTGCCCGTCCACCGCGCTGGCGCCTGCAGAAAGCCTTCCGGCGGCTCACGGTTGAGAAGCGAGCTCACGTGTCTGTCCCCCAGCCCCTGGTTGTGGGGTTAGCGTGCACAGGTCATGGCCACGTCACGGCCACCTCTCCAGACCCCGTAAAACCGGTCCTGTGTTGGCCGAAGACCAGTGTCGAGCTACCTGCAGGACCCTGAGGTCACCAGTGCGTCAGGACGGTACAGCCGACATTTCCCATCCCCGAGTCCAGGAGTCCCGAGAGGCAGCCCGTAAGCCTTGGGGACAGAGCTGCAGACTGGGCCGCAGCTTCTCGGGGGGGGCCCCAGGGCCATCCCAGGACGTGGACAGACTCCCATCGCCCCGTGACATCCCCTCTCAGATGCACATCAGAAGCTGCCCCTGAGAAGGAGCCGTGAGGGCAGAGGTGGCCTAGGGAGGGTGTGGGGCCGGGCCCGTCTGGGGGGCCGTGGGCCACACGCCTGAGCTTTGACATACGCCGTCGGCCTTTTCCGGTGTGCTCGCGCGTGTCCGCTGTGGTCTGTTTCGGTCCCTGCCTGTCACCTGGGCATCGGGGCCGCCACGGGCCTCGCGAGCGTTTCCTCCTGGCTTCTCCCGACGCTGACGAGGCAAAGGAGTCTTCCGGGTGCCGAGTGCCGGGTGCGATGTCTGCCAGGCAGACAGGGTGGGGGAGCTTTGCCCCGGGAATCCATGCCAGTCAAGATAAGAGCCGGGCTGAAGTATTTTGTGTGTTTTTTAAGTGATAACGCTTTTTTTTTTTTTAAGATTTTATTTTTTAACTAGTCTCTAGACTAGTGAAACGTGTTAAACTAGTTAAACATGGGGCTCAGACTCACGACCCCAATTTCAAGAGTCTCATGTGCTACCAGCTGAGCGAGGCAGGAGCCCCTAAAGAGATTCACCTCCCGCCAGAACCGGGCCTGATTGCTCAGCAGCCCTGAGGCCCGGCGACGGTGGTGGAAAGGTGCCCCTACAGGACGGCCGCCCTCCCGCGTGCTCGTCCCCTCAGCATCCCCTCGTGGAGCGTCCCGGGGTGCGGCACGCGGGTCACGGCTGCTGCCGGAACGGGATGGACCGGCCGGCCTTGCGGAGCTCGCGGCCACTGCCTTCCGGGCCCCCAGCGCGCGTGCAGGCACACACAGCCCTCCCCGCCCCTCGTTTCAGGGCGTTGATTTCTGCCCCGGGCAGAACGTGTCAGGAGTCACCACCCACACGCAGGAGGAGCACACGAAGCTGCCCCTGATTTTCCACCTGGGACGAGACCCGGGGGAGAGGTACCCCCTCAGGTGAGCCAGGGGCGGAGGCCTTCGGGCTGCCGGGGCCCCGGGCCGGCAGGTGTAGGCACTGACTGGCGGGCCGCGCGCTCTGAGCTTTGCTCTCCCCCTCCCCGTGCTCCCATCCCCCTGCTGTCTGGCTCCCGCCCCCACGGTCCGCGTGGCCCCGTCACGGGGCTCCCAACCCGAGCTGCCTTTTTGATGGCAACAGTGGGGGGCTGGGGGCCGGGGCCGGGGCCCGGGCGGCGCCGGCCTGGGAAGATCCACCCTGGGCCCCTTCACCCTCCGGGCCGGGACCGCGCTCCTCCCAGTGAGACTCCAGGACGAGTCGCTTCTTGGGACCTTGGTCCGGCTTAGAGGCCCGGGATCACGGGAAGGAAACAGATAGGCCGTGGGTGAAACCACGTGCCCCACGTCTACCTGCAGCAGAACCTCCTGCGTGGTCTTATTGGCAAGAGGGACTCTACAGAGGTGATCGTGGTGAGGGTCAAATAGAGATCACCCTGGATTAGGATGGCCCTAAATCCAGGGAGAGTATCCCTGGGAGACAGAACGGGATACGGACACGGGAGAGGCCACGTGGAGATGAAAGCAGAGGTGAGGGGATACGGCCACAGCCAAGGGACACCCGGAGCCCCCGGGAGCTGGACGAGGCAGGAAGGGCCCTCCCCTGGAGCCTCCGAGGGGGCACGTCCCGCCTGTATCTCGGCCTCCAGCCCCCGGAACTGGGAGGGAAGAGATTTCTGTCGTCAAGCCCCCTTCCGCGGCCACCGGTTACTGTAGCTCCAGGACACTCACTGGTGGGAGCTGGGAGCCCCTCACGGCTGTCACACGCCAGGGAGGTCAGGAGCCCAGGGCCGTGTGCAGGTGGGGTCGAGGATCAGGCTCAACCAGGGGGAGGCTCGGAGCAAGCAGTCTGAGCCCCGCTCCTGACCCCGGAAGTAACTTCAGAGCCAAGACGCAGCAGGACCACGGGAGCAGGGGGCAGGGCCCAGCATCGGGAAGAACCGCCCACCGCACCTCTGCTCCACCTGCAGCGGCCTTGACCGGCTCCCGGTCACCTGGAAGTTACGTGCGTCAGTGTGCACCATCCCCTCGGGCCCTTGTGCCCGTGCTCCCGACAAGGAGACCCAGACCCAGGGTGGGACACAGTTCTGGGAAGAAGAGCCTGGAGCCACCGCCCGGCCCAGAAGGGCTCACGGGCAGACTGAGGGGCCTCCCGGGCTTCCCGCGTGCGCTGGCACCACGGTGCCGAGTAACCTGACCAGTGAGCCTGCCGAACGTGGTTTAAGCCGATCCTTCTCAGTGCGTTTGGCCAGAATCGCGGAGACCTGCTTTGAGAAGCTTGTGGGTCTGCCCCCGCTACACGGATCTGGGCCAAAGGGACCAAGAAGGTGGGGAAGGTGCCAGGAGCCTGCCAGATCTGGGTCTGCTCGGAGGTGCCCGTGACCCTGGCGGTGCCCTCGGTGGTGCCGGCCAAGGCTCAGGCCCGGCGGAGTGGGGCAGGAGGCCTGGCTGCTGTACTGTCACCTGGCTGTGCCTGCGGCCTCGTTTGTAGGGAAGGTTCCCCGAGGTGCACGCCTGCCGCGGGCCAGTGGCTCCAGCAGGGACGGCTCCTTCAGTCCCCAGGCCTGTTCCTGGCCTACTTGGGTGGCCCGCCTCGGCCTGCCCGGGCCTCCCTGCTTCTGTGACCTGGCGCTCTCACCTCTAGCTTTGCCAGCACGGAGTACCTGGATGCACTTCGCGGGATCACCCCGGTTGTCCAGCAGCACCAGAAGGCCTTGGTCCCCGGACAGCCTCAGCTCAACGTGTGCAACCAGGCGGTCATGGTAAGTGGCTGGCAGGCCACGGGCCGCCGGTGCCGGCGGTGTCCCGAGGGCCCCGTGAGGTCTGCACCCCCCAGGGCATCACCGTCCTCCCCCCACGGAGCCATCTGGGGCCGCCGTGAGTTCCAGCAGCCGGGGTGATCCCTGGGCAGCGTGGCAGGACCCCGGCAGACCGCACGTCTCCAGAGGCTGCCAGAGCCCCCCTGTGGCTCCCGCTCAGGCCTCACAGGTGTGAGTGTTGTGCACGACAGAGACGCCAGACCCGTGTGGGGCAGGGACATGCCAGGCTGATGACCTGGAGGTCCCGTCGGGGACAGACCTTGGCTCCTGCGGGACCCGCCTGCAAGTCCTGTCCCTGTGACGGAACGTGTCTGTGCGCGCCCTGCTCCTCAAAGATGGGCGATTCAAGTGTCCCGGTGTCGGAAGCACCCCATTCCCCAGACCTACCATGTGATTTTGAGGAAGCTGTGGCCTGGAACCCAGCAGGCTTGGGGGAGTCAAAGTGCAGGGTGGGGCCGACAGGGACAAAGCATGCCGACCTTTCCTGGCGGCGAGAATGATCATAGTGTGGACAAGGCTGCCTCATCAGCCGGGGTCAGTGCAGGGGTGGTTTTGTCGCTGTTGTCCCCGTCTGGGGCTGTGTGTCCTGAGGCTCCCCAAGGAAAGACACTCGGGGCAGGAGCCAGCAGGGCCGCCTCCTTCCCTCGAGGGCGCCGGGGGCTGTCCAGCTTCTGAAGTCACAGCAGTGGGGCAGGAAGGTCCCCATCTCAGGACCATCACGGAGCCTTGGGTCCCAGGGGCCTGAGAGCCCCCCTCACACTCCTCCCCACGGAGAAGCCACGGTGCCCACTCCAAGCCCCGGCTTTAATCTTTCTGTGCAAACCAGCTGCCCCCACCCACGACATGCTGTCCACTGGGGAATGCTGTGCAGACGCACACTGGGTCTTAGGGTGGCAGCGTCCTTTCCCACCGCCTGGGGGTGGAGGGACCTGGCTGGGGCACTGTCGCAGCTGGCTGTCCCTGCACTGGGGGTGAGGGCGACCCTCTCAGCCCCACACACCCCACGAGTGAACCGAAGACAGACTGGAGCAGTGTGCAGTGGTCCCCAGACACCCAAGGGAGCACTGCCCCTGGAACACTGCACGGATCTACACGCCTGTGCAAAGCCCTCGGCCCTCGCCACACCCTGGATGGAGGGGAGGTCCTGCCTTCTGCCCTCAACCCCCAGCTCAGCCCTGCCTCCACTCTGTCAGGCCAGTGGGGATGAAGATTCGATGTGGTGTCTGTCCTCTGACAAGATCAGTCCTGTGCAGTCTATCACAGCCCTTGAGTAGAGCCTGCTGTCGTGGTACACATGAGACACCAAAGTGCCTTTAAGAATCGTGGGTGCTGGCTCCTCCTGGCGCCCCAGACTGGCAGTCTGCACCCAGATTTTCCATTCTGCACACCCTGTCGCTTTGCTCTGCCTCAAAGGTTGAGAAGAGCTGCTTTCTCCAAAGCTTGCCCTGTCCTGGTGGCTGGCCGCACCCTGCATGGGCAACCAGGGGCCATGTGATGCCATCTGGGGCAGGAGGGGACTTCCCCGGGATTCTCCCTGCCATCGAATCTCTGATTCAGTAACACCCTCTGGGGCCCCCTCTCAGAAGAGTGCCCCCAGCATGATTCTGAGTCTCCCTACCAAGGCACAGGAGCACCCCATGGGCAGTGGGAGGACACAGAAAAACAAGGGAGCCTCCCTCTCTGGCGGGTGTCTCTCGCTGGAGAACTATGGCCATAAAGAGAAAGTCTGGACGTGAATACGCATGGCCAAGTTGCCACATTGAGTCATTGTGCTGAGACAGGCCAGCTCTTCCCCAGGTGACGGCTTTCTGTAGAGAACCTTAAGGCTGTAAGGAGTCTCCTCTGTTAGCCCTTCCTGAAATGTGGCGCTACGGCGGGGACAGGTGGCAACCTGGCCCGTGGCCGCCCATGCCCTGGACCCTGAGGCCAAGGAGGAGATGGGGCAGGGCAGGAGTCTGGACACTACTGAGCCTAGAAGTGTTAAGAGTAACTCAATGTTCTCTCTTAATTCTCCTTGCCAGAATTGGGCGCCCCCAGGCTGTGAAAAGTTAGGGAAGTGCCTGACACCCCCGGAGTCCATCCCGGAGAAGTGCTTCTGGCCCCACTAGCACCTGCTCGTGTTCCAGCCAGGCCTGGGCTCTCCTACTGGCCCTGCAAATGCCTGCGGGGAGGAAGGCTCTGGCCTCAGGGCTCCTGAGCTGGAAGAGCCCCAACTGTTCTCTGCCCTGCCTGCGCCAGACAGACATTACCTACAGGTGACAGCAGGACCTGCACGTGCCCGCGGTCTCCCGGCCCTCCTCCTGGCCCACCCCAACTTGCCACGGCAGCCCACAGCCTCAGCCCAGCCCCAAAGCTGAATGCACTTGCTCAGGGCCCTGCCTCCATCCCGGGATCCAGAGGCGGAGCTGTCCCCTCCCACGTGTGAGTCCCACTGTCAAAGTTGGCCATGCCAATCCTGCTGGAGCCCTTGGCACCATCCTACTAGGAGGGAGTTGTGAATGTGGAAGGGGGTTTGGCAGCAGCCAAGGAAGGCCTCCCTGGTCCGGTGAGGACAGAGGGATGCTAGCACCTTCGTCTTAACACCTACCTTAGGGATGCTGTCCTGGTGCCCTGCATGGCAAGCGGGTGCCTCCCTTCCAGCCGCCCGTTACCTGGTGTGGCACGGTGCGGAGAGACAGCGAGCGGGTGTGGACGCCAACCTTACCCGCCCCGAAGGCGTGTGGAGCCGCCTTCTAGTGGGGTTTTCACGTCTCTGCCGTTGTGATGCCAGAGCTGTACCGTTCTAAGACTTGGGAAATGATGGTGAAAAGTTCTAGAATAAAGTTAACAGGCCTTTTTCCTTTTCTTTTTTTTTTTTTTT